CTTCCTCTTTTGATTTCCTCCTAAACTATTGCCATAGACAACGATTCCAGTGCGCGAGACACTGTCCCAGGTCTACCAAAACATCACTCCAAACTACACATCGGAACCTTCAACGTACGCACTGTAAATCAAATCGGCCAGCAGCCCTCCTTGGATAAAACCCTAGAATCTCGAAAGATTGATGTATGCTGTTTCTTCAAAACACGCATATAGGATCCTAGTGTGGTTATCAACTTGACCTTACCTCGTCAAATAGGACAACCGACGAGATACACTCTTGTGTATCTGGCGACCCCATGAATTGTTTTCGTGGACTGACGAGCGTAGGCTTAGTACGAAGGCAGAACAAGCACTATTAGAATGAATCCATGTTACCGGTCTCCTATGTGCTGTTAGGCTAAACGGCTCCGTAAAAACACAGAAGGATAAGGACACGTATCTTCGCCTTTTCATTGTTTCTTCCTACGCTCCCACTGATTTAAGACTGGATGAAGTGAAAGAAAACTTTCACAGAAAGCCTTCTGAACTTCTTCACAAAGTTAAGAGCTCAGACATAGTCAAGTCTAAGCGAAACAATCTCGGAAAGAGACTAAAACTTTATCCGCTCTCATCCCAGATGTTCAGAACGATTGGCGGAGCACTTAACAAAACAGTTTAGCTGACATTCAGCCACTCTACAGTTACCATCATTCCCAAACAGTCTGAATAGAACATTGAAGTAGGTATCCCAACTCTATTTGAAGTTCAAAAGGCTATAACTAACCTGAAACGAGGAAGAGAAGCCGGTCCTGATGGATTGGCTCCAGAGGTCTTTAAATATGGTGGTCCAATTTTAGCAGTTAGGTTGACCATTATTTTAGCTGAAATCTGACTGTTCACAATCACTTATTGTCCCAATATATAAAAAAGGGTCAAAATCATCCTATGATAATCATAGAGGGATTAGTCTGACTAACATAGTATCTAAGATACTTGCCTCAATAATTATCGGGCGCCTAAGACTCGTGAACTGCAAACACGAGAAAATCAGGCTGGCTTCAGACCTGGTCGTGGCTGTATCGACCACATATTCACCATTTGTCAAGTTTTAGAGCACAGACACGCTTATCGGCGTCCGACAATGATAGTTTTTCTTGACTTGAAAGCAGCATTTGACTCTGTAGACCGAGAGGTTCTTTGGCAGTGTCTATCATTGAAACATGTACTTCAGAAGTACATAAACATTGTGATGGCGTTTAACTTGAACACTACAAGTCGAATGAGAGCTTATGGCGAACTGTCATATGATTTTACAACCTCAAGTGTTATCCGTCAAGGCTGTCAACTGTCCCAATTTTTATTTAGCTTTATTAAAGACCTACTGCTGGAACTAACGTTTTCATAGTCTGAATTTTTAGGAATCGATCTCCTACTCAGAGGTCCATTTAACGACCTCGATACGCAGATGACATTGTCCTGTTTGGTGAAGACTATGATTAAATGCAGAGTCTTCTGTTAGAACTAAGAACAATACCAGGATATTTAGAATTCGTTTCTCCTCCTCTATATGTAAATTTTTACTCCAGTACTGGCATCAACATCTGAACCAAGGATCAGGAGCGAATTAGTCGAACGTGTCGACAAATTGACTTATCTTGGAAGTCTGATCAGCCCTAATGGGTTGGTGTCTGACCAAATTTCAGCACGGATTCAATAAAATCGTTTGGCTCTTGCAAACTAACTCCACCTATTGCGAAGACGAGATATTCGTCTATCAACCAATTGACGAGTATACTGCGCAGCAGTTCGCTCTGTTCTAGTTTACGGCAGTGAAACGCGCAAGGCTGACCAGTATTGGCGATGCTTGGAAGAGAGTTAGGTCCGGCCAAACCAAAAGAGGCATCAGTGCTTGTAGTCACTACTACTCTGTGCCATGTTGGTAGATGCAGACTACCTGGTTGGGGTCCGCGTGACTATTGTAACATATGGTCGGAGACTCTGTATGACATAGCTCAGAATCGATCACAATGACGCAAGTGTATACACTCCCTGTCTTTTCCTAAACCATGAGATTAAAGTTTCTTCATATCTGTCCTCCTTTCTGTACTATATCCCTGTATACAATCTTTCTTTTATATATAACCACTACTAAATTAGCTACTATGAATTTGGTGTTCATCTTGTTATGCTGATGAGGTATGGCAACTTCAACCGATGCATATGCGTGCCTGGTCCTACGTTGTAGCTGATTGACTGTGTCGAGTAGTATTGCATCCCGAAGAGAATTACGAATGGTAACTTTTGAGGATTATTTATTGGTCAATATAATGTGTATTTTTCCTATTGTAATTAACCTAATCATATTCATTTCCTCTTATCACTAACTTTATTTTGACCTTTGAATTAATATTATACGATCCTTGAGTTATCATCAGTTTATTGATTACTATTCACAGCCACATTCGGCCAAATACTGTACAAATGTTATTATCTATTTTATGGGTCGATATGGTTTGTTTGGTTGGTATATAAACTCAGTATGTTTCAAATTCAAGAATTCATACCACTGAGGCTGTTATTGGTGTTTTGGGCTTAACTGGTTGGGCTAGGCAGATCGCAGGACCGGTTAGCACTCTAGTCTGCTCGTACGTGTTTCGTGTCGCTGTTCCAGTCGATAATTCGCTGCTCCCTAATTGGCGGTTCTATCGCGTCACAAATTAACTAGTCATCCACTCGGCTACAAGACATAACAAGTAGAATCCGGGGTCAGTGTTATGGTGAATCAGAGGGAATAGAAAGTTTTCTCAAAGCAATCAGAGAACCAGTTTTCCCAGATATGAAGGTCGCACAGGTAGAAAGTCCAAACCATGTTCAAGGTTATCGTAATGAGTGTGAGACATATGCATGTTTTCCATTTGATTGTTTCGCAGGTGAATCAGGTCTAGATGAATCACATGTGTTAATTACACATATCAATGTATAATTATCTATGTATTGTAATAAGAATAACAAAAAAATATGTATAATAATTATTATACAAGTCAAAGTCACATGGTGGAATGCCTCAAATTATAAGTAAGTTTATATCCCCAAATACTCACATATAATTAATCGAAGTGTGAGATATAAGAAGAAAATACAAATCAGGAACTTCAAATTGGTTATAACATTGTGACTTAAGGACCCGACACTATTTAGCCTTGAAGGATAGTGTTGGAAAGTCTATGATTCAAATTTTAGATATCAGTGGTTTCACTATACAACCGACATGATGATTGTATACAATTCCAGGACCCAGGTGATTCTGTTCCATTTTCGGTTGTTTATTCTATTACTAACGAGTACATTTTAGATAATACAGAGTCTTTATCCGATACATTGTCGGACAAATATAGGATGAACTTCAGAAGCAGACGTACGATCGATTACAGACACCTAAACTCCAATTTAGGCTTTGGCGGATGTGGTGTCTATATAAACCAATGATTCTTTTGTACTGGACGAATGCATGGTTTGGAATTCCAAATACAATATATTCATTCGTGTTCATATAGTATTTCTTGGTTAAATTGCGTTGTTTCTGGGATTACTAGTTTCTACTATAATTCAAATACTCCTAATTATCATAGGACATAAATGTGTATTTATGTGTTGAGAAGTAACAATTCAGTGGTCATTTAAAGGCATTGGAATTAGTGAATGGGTAATCATTCAGGATGATAAAATAAACAAATATATGAACATTAGTCAGATTATATAAGAGATGAAAATCAGAAGACGGAAGGATAATAAAAATACGAAGGTTGGAGACAGGGTAGAAAAAAGTTGCAATTAACAAAGGCTATTAAGCAAATATCCGATCATAATTGCTGGAATGAGCTAATCAAACATTCCTTCTGTATACATCGGTCAGGTTGAAAACGTTTGATGTCAGTAGCCTCTGCAAAACGAAGTTAGATTGATGTTTTTTGTCTGTTGAGTGTTTTGAATACATCACTTAAATTCACGCCATATGCATTAACCAAATGATGTCTTGCAATTGCATTCATAAAGAATATAAGTTTTGTTAACTGTAGGTTCCTAAAAATATGTTCAAAAAACCTTGTAGAATCCCTTTTCTCTATACTTCCTATGTACATGCTGCCGCATGTACATGTAGATTCATAAATGCATTCGGTGACATCAGGAGGGTATTGATCTATCTTTGAATGGCATCATGAACAATTGGTGTTATATCGTGTAACACCACTCGAAAGTGCAATGTATATGAGCAGAAAGTTGCTAAGATTAAAATGAAGAGAAGAGAGAAGGGAAACTGAAAGCAATTAAGAAAACAACAAGAACAAAACTTGCAAGAGACTATTTGAAGGCGATATGTAAATGATGTAAATTGATGTATGATTTTCACATTTTGCCAAATGATTATGTAATTTTATATTGTTGAAATCATGAATCAATGGAAGCTAGACAACCTTGGAAAATATAGAAGCACTGGACGGTCATTTCGTCCTATTGCGGAACTCCTAAGTAGTACTCATACTCACAAGATCAAAACTCAGGACCTGTCTATCTCGCGCGTGAGCGCTTAAACATTAGACCACTGAGCCGGTATCCAACGGCCGTCCAGTGCTACCAGGTTCCCCATAGTGGTCTAGCTTCAATTGACTCATGATTTCAACCATATAAGATTGAATAGAGTTGAGATCATGAGTCAATTCAAGCTAGACCACTATGGTAAACCTAGAATCACTGGACGTCCGTTTCGTCGTATTGTAGGACTCCTCAGCAGTGCGCATCCTCAATCTCATCCCGCGAGATTCGAGCCCAGGACCAACCAGTCTACACAAAACTACTAAAATCTTCACAAACCCCCCCTTCTCATTATGTGTTTGTTGATTACACAGTATGATATTGTTTATTTCATTTATTTCTTATTCACTACACATCAATTAACTGCAGAAAATACACACATGAATGATACCAATGTATAACAAAACAAACAGAAAACAAAACAACTGATTATCAAAATTATTTTTATTCTTATAAAAGAAGGTTTCTCTACATAGATGCTACGTTTAAAAAGAAAAGAATAATAATGAGGATAAAAAAAGAAAAGTTAAACATTTCAACTTAGTCTCATTGTGCATGTAACATCTTTGGTACAATCAGTAATCTTATAAATAAGTATCATATAAGTAGCATATGAACACATGAGTGCAAAATCAAATGAACAAATTACAACTGTACTATATGTACAGACAATTTTGATATAAGGAGGATTTATCGTTTCTTCTCTTTTTCCTTTTTCTCTCTTTTCTTTTTCTCTCTTTTCTTTTTTCTCTTTTCTCTTTTCTTTTTTTTGTTTTTGGAAAACTATAATGACTATACTATTACATAAGTTCATTTTGTATACGATCTAAATTCATTTCACATTCATTAACTTTTTCAATAAAATAATTTCTATTTTTAATTATTTCTAATAAATCTGCTTGCACATAATAAATATTTTCCCATTTCATTGCATCATTCATATCAAGATTATAACATGAATGAAATTCTTTTGATTTTAGTTTTTGACTACTTATATTATTATCAGTAGTATAATTATTATTAGTAAACGTATTGTTATCAAATTGATATAAATCAATCACATTAGAACCATCTTCTTCAAAACGTATATTATCATCAAATAATATATGTTGTATATATTTATCATTTGGATTAAACCATAATGGTTTTGATGATTTATAATGATAATTATGTTGTTTCCAATACATGAAATCATCTGTTATATTAATCACACCAATTTGTTTCGACCATATTTGATAAATTTCATATGGATCCTTAGATATATTGATTAATTGTTTATCATCATTCGGATCATCATCATTATGGATTTCTTTTAATAATTGAAACATTGGTTCATGTTCAGAACGTTTTAAATACCATTTAGTATAATCAATTGGTAGAAATTGTTTAGCATTTATAGGGGCTTTCTCTTGTGAATGTTTTCCATGAATATAAGCTTCAATTGCAGATAATATATGTTCACCATCTTTACCATATGTACGTATAAATATAGCAAATTGACGTTTAGTTTCAATAAGCAATGTTAATAAACGATAAAATGCTGGCATTAAATAATGATAATATTCATCATCATTGTTATTAGTAGCATTGGTAGTATTAGTAGTATCGGTAGTATGAGTAGTATAGGTAGTATTGTTAGTAGTATGAGTAGTAGTAGTGTTAGTAGTATCGGTAGTATTAGTAGTAGTTTTTCCACTATTTACACATAAACAATATGGTGAATTACTTGATTCCAATGGGGTTAATTTTAACATTTCTAAATGTTCATTAAATAATTGACGAAATGGTAAACCTTCAGGAGTTTGTGTAAAATTACCTAAATATTTTCTTATTCTACCTCTATCTGATGTTAATTTAACAATTTGTTTTTCTAATAGTTTATAGATACTTATTGAATTAGGGATTGGTTGACGTATACATAATGGTTCTGGCAAACGATTCCAATATGTTAATGTTGCTTTAAAATTAGCTAATTCATTTGATGTTAAATTTTCAAAATTTTCACCTTCATAAGGTTGACGGTTACCAGTTGTAGTTGTTGTTGCTATGCAAGAGTTATGTTCATGATCTATGTAAAAAAAATTTTAAAAATATTATTGATTTTTAAATGTAAATAAATGTAAACAGTATTATTTGTTCATAAAAATATTGATTATAAAATACCCATTTTAATCTTATTTATTGAATAAAACAATAAGATGTTTAACTTTTAGGTTATGGGTTCGAACCCAAACATTTAATCCACAAAACCCCTTCTGATCTAATAATCATATGCTCACTAGTGACTGACTTCAAGTGATATGTCCTTAAGTTCTAGTGGGAAGCAGTGACCAGTGGAGTTCAACCAAGTCTGTCGTAGAGATATCAACTCACTGAAGACAATTGGTGAACGGTTGCTCAAAATCGTGGATTGGTTGAAGTTAGACATTGACACCGTTGGATACCAGACAGCTCAGTGGTCTATATGTTAAAGGCTCCAGCTAGAGGCCGGTAGGTCCTGGGTTCGAATCCCGCGGGATCGTGGATGCGTACTGCTGAGGAGCCCCATAATAGGACGAAACAGCTGTCCAGTGCTTCCAACTTTTCGATGGTGGCCTAGCTTCAATTGACATATGAATTCAACTGTGAATATACTAAGTTCTCCATAAAACCCCCTCTGATCTAGAATTATGATATAGACTCACAAAAGCCATAGTATTAGTCTTATTCAGAATGTCAATCAAAATCTGTCATTCGAGATTACATTGATAAGTGATGTAGGCCTAAAAATTAAAATTAACAAGTGACTTGATAATAGTCTACCACTTTTCTTGTGATGAGCTCACCTACTGTATAATCTTAATTTGAATATGTATGTGTCAATCATTAACAAATGTAACTGCTCAAAATTGTAACTTTATCATAACAGATTTTTGTGAACGCATTGACATTTTATTCACAAACAGGTATGCAGGAGCTGCACATACCAATCTGACTTTAGAGTATTTGGGAATAAAGACTTAAAATAATACTTAATTCTTACTTGAACACTTCTCTTAAAACACTATTTTGTAGAAATCGGACAAATGAATTATGGAAGAAGGATAATTATTTCATGCCCTGGTACGGCCGAGAGTCGGGAGCGCCCACCCTCTATCTAGAAATACTCTCACTCGACCATGTGTATACAGCTTCTGAAAGAGAAAGTCCTACTCACTTCTTTCTCATGACGGATGTGTTTTTTACGAAGTTGAGTGAACGAAAGGCGAATGTACGGTGCTTTAACCGGGCCGGTGCACACCGACAGTCAATCTGGGGGAGTTGGTAAACCCTGAAACCAAATCAGTGGTAGACATGGGCTACAGAATCCTAGAGAGAACCGATTGTTGGTCACCGTTTACCTTGGGATTGCATTTTCTCTTAATGCTCCATTGAGTTTTGGATCAGAACTTTAGGTCAAATACTCCGGGTGTGCAGCATCCTAAGAAAACCATCTGCTTCGGAATGGACACCCGGACATTAACTTATCCCTCACACGAATAAAGTGAAAGACAATTTTTCGTCTGGCGTATATATATGTATATACACCTTATACCAATATTAGTGTACCAATATTCATGTATTCAGATAAAACTAATTAAATAAAATGAACTACTTAATTATACATAAGTAGTAAGCCAATTATTATGTAAGTTTTCAACATCCATGTAGCATTACTCACAAAACCTTATGATTTAATTATATAGTGCATTCTTTTAATGATAAGTACACAATTTTATGAGGTTAATACTTAATCATTTTACATCTAGATGCCATATCTATGTGTAGACATGACTAGAATATTCGTACATTTGTTTTAAAGGAACTTATTCTATAAAAATATTTAAAAAAAAACAAAAATTAACAATCCCTCACGTACTCAGAATTCCTTCCTAATCAAAGTAAACATATTTCTTTATACTATGTATAATTAATTATCTAAGCATATATATATATAACTATGTATCTGACTGAGTATGACCTTCTTTGTCATTATAATCCATATACATATAGTGCTTTACTAGTGTGTGTGTGTGTGTGTGTATGCTGATCTTGTTTAAAACATATAGGTTTAATGAGCAAAATTGTAGTTAGTTAGTTGACCAATAAAAGTATTCTATTGTTTTAAATGAAATATTTTTATATGAGACTATGATTCCTAATGAATACTTTCATAATGTGTAATATACTTATTACTAACCTTGAATTCTTTTACTATTCTGTTTACACATTGTTTTCTGTTCAATCTTTTGTTATTGTTGGTGTTACTGTTTAGTTTTTCTTGATAAGTTTTAACTATCACGATAGGTAAATTCATTTAGCATTGTTTGTTTGATTCTTCCCATCTATATGTTAGGACTGCAACTGGTCAGTCTCTAATTGGCATATGTGTATACTGTACGTATTGCCTCGATATAGCCTTAATTCACAAGCATTGTAAACCAAGATGGATAGTGGCTAGCAGTGGAATCCAGGATGCGCGTTTCTTCCTATTTGGGACTCGTCAGATGGATGTACCTGCATCTCAGACTTGTTGATGTTCACTGTGGGAGGAACTCGAACTCAGTACCTTTCACTTCAAACGCCATCGTGTTATCCACTCGGCCACTGAGTCCTGATAGCCACTTGCTTGTGCGATAGGTTGAAGTTTAAATTCATTTAGTATTAATTGTTTGAATCTTTCCATCGATGTAATAGGACTGCAACTGATAGTTCTTACTGTTAGTTCATTCAAAGTAGTCCATCAGAAAGTCTATTGTATCTAACTTTACTTGTTAGGTGACATACGTCAACATATCATACAATCTAAGATAATACTAATAAGTAACTTAGACTTTTATTGTCATTATACAATACTGAGGTATCTACATGTTATGTCCTGATAAGAACAGTGAATGATAACTTTGGGATCTAATTATGAACCAATACTATGCATATATATTTTATCGTATAATTGTTAACTAACTAAACTACTCATATTCACATCCCTCTTATTATGATCTTTATTTTGACCAATGAGCTATTTTTATATGATTTACCATTCTTAAGTTATACCCTATCTATTGATTACTATCTTCCTTATTTACAGTCACATTTGGCTACATGTTGTACAAATTTTGTTTTTTATTTTATGGTACCTTGTGGTTTGTTTGGTTTCTATATAAACCCAGTATGTTTGAAATATAATAATTCATACTACAGAGGCTGTTATTAGTGTTCTGGACTTAACTGACTGGGCTAGGCAGAAAACAGGACCGATAAGTACTCTATACTGTTCGTACAGGTTTTATGAGCCATTGGTCAGATCTATAAGTCACTGATCTCCTGTTGGCGGTATTGACAGGGCATCCAAGACCGCAAGTTATAACACTGCAAATGATTGATTACTAAGTACTAGGCAAAATTTTGTTTGTTCAATCCTTAGCGCTGATTGACTAACTCCAAAAAACACGTATTATCAATAAATACTCCTTGCAATGTCGAATCACTTGATCGATGGAATTAGATCAGAATTACGAAGTAAACGAAAGTGTAATTGAAATATACTCAATGATTGATCAGATATAACTAGTGATAGTTTCAGTTGAAAGTAAAGCGATACATTGGAGAAAAAAATAAGTAAATACATGAAATTTTACTGAACATTTGTCTCATTTGTTAGTTCGAGACACATCCACTTAAGGTATACATTTGTGATCAAACATTAATGTGAACAAATGACTGTTAAATATAGCACCCAATGAGTTGACTTTTGGACTGATTTAATGGAAACTTAACTTCCATTTTATGGATTTTGGCCAGTTCTCTTTATTGCGTAATCATCAATCTATGCAAATGCTGAGTAATGTATTAACTATCTGAATAGTTTTAATAACTGATTTTATTTCGTGTTAAATAGAAAAGTCAAATTGAATAGTCAATTGCAGACTGTCTTCAATTTAATTTAATACTTATATGATAGTGATATATTTCTGTAGCTATTTGACAGGTCCTCCTGGCCTCCTACACTGTCCGAACATTCCATGTACCTACATTAATCGATGCTCTGGTTTTAAGAAGGGGCATACGTCTAATGATTTTAGAATAATCTCGGCTTTCAACATGAGACGTTATAATTCTTCTGAATGACGATCCCTCAACTGGGGGGGGGAAGTTTAAATGGTTTAATTTATTCATTCTGGTTAGCGTTTTTAAACAAAGTTGTTTTTTAAGGGATGGAGCTGCTGACCTAATGCCCAACTCTCCTCCTTTGCCTGATTTCGGGATCGTTAGTAAACCTAGAAGAGCTAAGGATGGAATCCTAGAGGGAAACAGAAAAGAAGGAGACTAAAGAACACAGTGCGTCGGAAATTGGAAGCAGACATCAAAAAGATGAATAGCAAATGGAAAGGATTATCCAGGAAAGAGTTGGATGGTCAGCCTATGCTCCTTCACGAAGTGTGACAGGCGTAAGTAAGTAGGTAAAGTAATAAAGATATTTAAAAGATTCAATTTCGGTTATTTCTTAATTGACACTGCTATGTGATTAAGTGTAAGTGATAAACGTTTTTGAATTCGTAGTAGCATATGTTACATTACAGAATAAATTGATCTGTATTGTATATCAGAATAATTCACTAATATTCACTTAGTATTGTTTGTTTGAATCTTAACATTGATGTTTTCGGACTGCAACTGGTCAGTCTCTTATTGGCATATGTGCATACTGTGCGTATTGCCTCGATATAGCCTTCATTCACAAGCATGGTAGGCGAAGATGGATAGTGGCTAGTAGTGGAATCCAACTTCACCTCATTGCACAAGCAAGTGGCTATCAGGACTCAGTGGCCGAGTGGATAACACGATGGCGTTTGAAGCGAAAGGTACTTGGTTCGAGTTCCTCCCACAGTGAACATCAACAAGTCTGAGATGCAGGTACATCCAACTCACGAGTCTTAAATAGGAAGAAACGCGCATCCTGGATTCCACTGCAAGCCACTATCCATCTTTGCAATCCACTAATATATTAGAAGCGCCATGCGACAATACATTATTTAGAATGAAGGTGTACAATCATCTCTTTTTATTAGTTCGAATTGTGAACAGGGTTACTCAGTTGAAACATCCTTCTGAATTTCATGGGTGATAATGTTAGAGAAAAATCTATGAAATTTTACTTCTTCAGTATATGAACAAATTTATTTTACTGTGATGATGTATAACCTATTTAAATAGCTGTTTTATGACGGAGTTTCGTTCTCAGAACTGGACGGTTAGGTCATGGAGCTTTCATTGTTCTTGTGACAACATCAGCACAGACGTAAGGTAGAAGTGAAATGTTTGAATTCCTCCTTATTTGACTTACAGCTTGTCCTGTTGACCTTGATGTTGATTAACTATCTATCAACCAATCAGAAAAATCACGAATAAATATAAGACCAAGAATAAAATCATTCGGAGATACAATCAAAATAAAGAGGCAGATTATGACAGATGAAGGGCCATAATAACCAACCAAGAGTTAAGTCAACAGGACATACTGTGATTCATAATTGGAGAAATTCGATCACTTCACCTCCACATGAAGTTTATAATGATAATGTTGTTCAGAAGAGCAATGAAAGTTCCATGACCAAACCATCCAGTTCACAGAAAGAAACTTAATCAATATCATCCATCTGAGCTAAATATCGTGTTCACTATCTCAAAATCATATGAGAACGTTTGAATAGAGTTTGTTCATATGACTGACACTCTACTTAGATATACCATGGAATTTGTATCCGTTCAGTGTAAATCACTTCTAAAAGGCTTTTAGAAACCCACAATTTCGTGTAACCGTATATATGTGTTCATTTATTTATTTGAACACGTACATATTGGTACAAAGGGGCACCAGATATATATGCGCCACAGAAAACAATGAGGATGGAAAGAGAAAGGGGTAAGGTGCATATATACGAAAGAAAAAATAGAATGAAAAAGAAAGAAAAAGCGAAGAGTAATGATGGAGGGAACTGAAATATATAACCAGAAGAACTCTCTCAGATAAGAAATTTATAACCACTCTTTATGAAGAAAGTAGAAGGTTACAGCAGGTTCGCCACTAGCTTCTATTCTGAGCCACATCTGACAACGTCTCTAGCCACTGTGTTGCATCATCTCTCGGACCCCAGCCAGGGAGTCGTGAAGGACCAACAGAAGCTAGCCCTTCGCAGCATTCTTTCATACTACGACACTATGTCATACACTGACCACCTCTCCGCTTTTTCAAACCAGTCCCAGCGTCGGCAAATAATGCACGACGCGGAATTCTCTTGGACGACATTCATAGAACATGTCCAAGCCACCGAAGTCGGTGTTTCAAGATGGTGACACCAATTGAATTATCATCTCTGCTCCAGAACACACGATACCGAACATCTGCATTATTACATGGTGTTGCCTCTGGATGTCAGCAATCCTTCGGAGAAAACGATGTTCGAACACAGAGAGTCGTTTAACATCTTCAACTAGGAGAGTCCAGATTTCACAAGCATAGAGCAAAACTGCTCTCACCGACGCGTTGTAGATCCGACCTTTTACAGCCAGACTAACATTACAAAGGCGCTAAAGATGGCCCAGATTACCATAAGCCGCTCCGGGTTTCATTATACGTGCATTGATCTCATCACTCACGCCACCACCAGCACTTATATAGCTACCTAGATATACGAACTTCTCAGCTACTTCAATCTGCTCACCATCTAGGGTGAGTACAGGGTGAGAATCCTACCAGTCTTGTAGGAGTACTTTTCACTTGGATGGCGCAAAGCACATACCGTGTTAGTGTATATAATGAAATAATGATCATACTGGATACAATAGTCTAATGAAAGACAAAATAGTATATACTAATCTGACCTATAATTAAAGTCTTTGTTTATTTGTGTTTACAAATAGTAAATAATAAAAGTATGCATACTTATTTACAACAAAATAATTAACGACACTAGGAATAATTGAAGAAGCGCATAGATATGGTACTGAACCTTTTTATCTTACAGCTAATGTAATATGCCATTATTGCAAGCTCATTTAATTCGAATGAAAACTTGCGAGAGAAGAACAAAATAGAATACAATGTAACTTACTTTCATTTTGATTCATTTCATTAAGGACTTGAGATTTTACAGAGTTTATATTTTGACTTTCATTTGTTTCAATAGGATCAGTTGAATGATCTGGATTAGAATTCGTTGATAGGAAAGTTTCAGAGTTGTTTTGTGCATCATTAATTTCATTGCTTTCAGATTTATTTTTTAATTGACCTATTAAAGAATAGATATAAAGATAAACCATAATTTTGTGGTGAAATACTGATCAATAGATGAATGTAATAATATGTTGTAAACGAGTGACGGATACGCACGAAACTGTCTTATTGATGTTAGCACTCGATTGATTTAAAAAAAGATAACAACACTAAACTAGATGAATAGGTGTTATTTAGTATAATATAACATAGTTGAAAGCGTAAGTCAATTGAAGCTAGACCATCATGGGAGACCTGAAGGCACTGGATGGCCGTTTCGTCCTATTACGGGACTCCTCAGCAGTGCGTATCCACGATCCCGAACTCGCGAGATTCGAACCCAGGGCCTACCAGTCACGCGCTAGAGCACTTGACCGATAGACCACTGAGCCGGCATCCAACGGTGTTAATGTCTAACTTCAAATGACCCACGAAGTTAAGCAACCGTTCACCAATTGTCTTCAATGAGTTGATATCTCACAACAGACGTGGTTTGAACTCCACTGGTTACTGCTTCTCACTAGAACTCCTGGATTTACCTCTCAAAGTCAGTCAGGACGAAACGGTCGTCCAATGCTTCCAGGTTTTCCATGGTGGTCTAGCTTCAATTGACTCATACTTTCAACTATGAAAATACTTAATCTCTACAAAGCCCCTTCTGATAATTATAATATAACATCCTGTTTATATATGCAGATTATGGGCACCAAATTAAAATATTAAAATGTCATACTCATCTTTTAATCTATTGAAACCTAACTGTTAGTTCAAATCATTTGGGATCCTATCAGGTGACAACCAAGCTTTCAACAAATTCCGATGTCATTGATAAATGTGAGGCAAATAGGTTCGTTTATAAATTTGATATATGAAAAGTATATTTACAACATTAGAACGTTTAACATAAAGCTCTGTAGAAGAATAATAATCTCATCTGTAAAGATTGTTTGAATCTTTTCATTTTTGATATTTGAACTACAACTGGTCATTTTGTTTTGTCATACATTGTATGCTGTTCAGATGGCTTCAATATTGTCATTAATTCACACGCATTTTAGGCACAACTAGATGTTGGCTAACAACAGAATGCTGAAAGGGTGTTTCGTCCTATATGGCCCACGTTAGGTGGATCTACGTGCTTTCGTTTCAAAAGCTTAATTTATTATTCACTCACCTGGGTAAACGTCAACACTGAGATACAGGTAGATTGGAGTAATTGGATTATATTTATAATGAGTATTTCTCGATACAAAACTGTTATTGATGAGACTTGAACATTTCAAATGTTTCATTAGATTTCGATATAAGATGATTGAATAAATATACTATATCACCAAAGTATTATACAATGTTACTCATTATTAGTAATGTATAAATGAAATTGTAACGGACTTTATGTCTAGTCAATTAGACAAGAGATCATAATACATCCCAATAATTAGAATTCGATCAGCATTAAGAAATAAACAAATATGATATCATCAGTGTAGGGATTTGTGGAGATTATGGTAATTTTAACGGTTGAATTCAAAAGTCAATCTAAGCTAGACTACTATTGAAAACCAGTACGGGTTGCGTAATGATCATGGGTTGATTGAAGTCAGACATTAACACAATTAGATGCCAGCTCAGTGGTCTAGAGGTAAAGCGTTCACGCACGAGACCGAAGGTCCTTTGTTCGAATTATGGGTACGCACTACTGAGGAGTCTTACACCAGGACGAAATGGTCATTCAGTGTTTCCAGGTTTTCCATTGTGCTCTAATATTGATTGACCCATGAATTCAACCATTAAATCACTACAAAAACTCCACAAAACCTCCTTCTGGTTATAATCCTCGTATAACCATGCTGAACGATAAAACTTCTCAGAAAAAAACATGTTAAATGTATGTTAGCAACCTAAAATTGTTTTTAAATCATAATGTTACTAATGAATCTAGAAAAAAAGATGTTCGGTATTTTCAACAGAAACTTCCACTTTAAGGTTCCAAATTGAAAAGTCGTTGAACAGGTTTATACTAGTTAGAATGTATTTCTAGATAGGTAAGTAATTATATTCTAAATTTTCTAACTAGTATACTAAATATAAAACAAAGTTTTCCATTTCTTTACTTATAAGGATTTCTGTGTAACAAGTAGACTCTGTTTACCATATTCTTTCTTCGTATTCGCTATACAACATATTTTTCATACTAAAGAATATATTTAGTATAGTGATAGTCTTTCGATACATAATGTGGTGTGGGCTACTTATATCCACCCTAGTAGTATATAATGATGTTCGGGCATGGAATATATTTCAGTAGAAAATTGATAACAAGAGAACGGAAACGAAACATGATTGGTATGAAAATGCATGAATAATAATAATCAAAGACGATAGAATGACATTTGCAGAAGGGATGTTAAAGATCGAGACAATCGATTGATAATTTGCAAATTAACTGTTCAATGTAGGGTTGTCAGATTTTACTGAGATAGTCTGTAATTTTGTGCCCAAAAACATTCGATTTCTTCCATGTCATACGTCTATTATATAATACATCGTGTTTTAATTATCCTGTTGTGGTGTGTGCTACTGCTATCGACAGATATAAGTAGTATATGTCATCAGTCGAAAATGAAGTGCCTGGAGGCAGAAGATTAAGAAGATCGAAGAAAAGAGGACAAGAACAGAGAATGAATGGTGTGGAAACGAAGATATAATCAAGACTAAGACGATTGATTGACATTTTGCAAATGACGTAATTACTATATTGTTCTGGGATTTTATTTAGACATCTAATTTTGTATTCAAAAACATTTAAATCCCATTCTTATATTAAGTAAACAAATGACTTAATATCAGAAACGGGATTTTGTGTAGATTGTAGTAACTTAATAGTTGAATTCATGAATCGATTAAAGTTAGACCACCATGGAAAATCTCGAAGCATTGGACAGCTGTTTTGTCATAGTATGGAACTCCTCAGCAGTGGACAATTTCATGGATTGGTTGAGGTTAGACATTAACGACGTTGAATGCCATCTCAGTGGTCTAGAGCTTAAGTGTTCGCGCACAAATCTGATAGGTCCTGTGTCCGAATCCCGCGAGCGCGATCATAGATGAGCGCTGCTGAGGAGTCCCATGCAGGGACGAAACTTACATTCAGTGCTTTCAAGTTTTCCATGAACTCAACTAATAAATTATATAATACCAAAAAGAAAAATTGCATGATTTCATCTTAAAGCAGAATTAGACTAAATCTTATAATATGACTAATTATATATCCTTTTTTTAGGTACTTCAATCAATTCAGTTTGTCTAAATTTAACCAGAATTAACTTATAATGAATCAGTTAAAAATGATTACATAATATTTGTTTTTTGTTTTACCGTCATTTAAATTATAAATATGAACCATTGAATGAATTATAAGCAAAGATGGATAGTGGCTAGCAGTGGAATCCAGTTTGACGCACGTTTCGTCCTATTTGGGACTCGTCAGATGGATGCACCTGCATCACAGAGTTGATGTTCACGCTGCGACTCGAACCCAGTACCTTTCGTTTCAAACACTATCGCGTTATCCACTTAGCCACTCAGTCCTGATAGCCACTTGGTTAAATTCACTTGGTATTATTTGTTTGAATCTTCCGATTGATGTTTAGAACTGCAAATGATCAGCCTAGTTTAATCCAGCTGACGAGTCCCGAATAGGATGAAACTCGCATCCTGGATTACACTGCTAGCCGCTATTCATCTTTGTTTACAATGCTTGTGAAATAAGGCTATATCGAGGCAATACGCACGGTAGGCACATATACCAATAAGAGACTGACCAGTTGCAGTCCGAAAACATCAATGTTAAGATTCAAACAAACAATACCAAGTGAATTGAATGAATTGTTTATCGAAGTTTAAACGTAATTACCCCTCCCACCCCCTCACTCCACATTTAATTCATAAATAATAATTCAAGGAGTATTTTATTGTTTATCATCAAAATAGAAATGTTTCTCTTTTTTTCTTTCGTTCTCTTGATTTGAAATTCTTTTACCTAAACAAAATTCATTCCTTGAAAGAGGCTTGAACCAGATTTCCAGGTGAAACGTTGGATTTACTTCATTTTCATTGACTGAGATTTTACAAATACATATTCTTCTTCCTATTTAATGTCTTACATCAACTCGGCGCCCAAATACTGTGAAACTATTCGCTCTAGTTTAGACGAAAGTTCTTATAGAATCATTTTTATAGTTGATAAACTTATAAGAACAATAAAAAAAGATATGAACATAACAAGTAGATTGTTATATCTTGCAGCCTGCCTGTGTATCAGTTAATATATGACGTGACGATGGGGCCAATCATAGAGCAGTAATTTATCTTTCGGACCAGTGACACATGAAACCCGTACGAGCAGTCTAGAGTACTTATTAGTCGTTGCTTCTCGCCTTAAACAGTCAGTTAAGTCCAGAACAGCTTCTGCGGTATGAGTCATCATATTTCAAACATACTGAGTTTATATACCAATCAAACTGACCACATCGTACCATAAAATAAGAAACGACATTTGTACAAGATTCAGCCAAATGTGGCTGTGAATAAGGGAGATAGTATGTGATAGAAAAGACATAATTCAGGATTGATAAATCATTTAACAATAGTTTATAGTTCAAAAAAGCTTATAATAAGGGGGACATGAATATGAATATTTCAGTTGCTTAGTAATTATACGATAAAAATAAATATATGTACAGTATTGGTTCATAAATGGATCCTAAAGTTACCATTTACTATTCTTATCGGGACATAACATAGATGATTTTAGTTATAATGCTGAATTAAATAATATCAAGAAAGAGATCTAAAGTATATAAGAACATTCGTCTAAATTAGAGCGATTAGTTTCACAGTATTTCAGCGCCGAGTTGATGTAAGATAGCAACATGTTGACCATCGATCATATTATATGTAATTTTTAGTGTGAAAACCTGTAAACTACTGAAATGAATATTTAATTCTGAATTA